ACCGAAATAATGCATATGACAAAAACCGAAATAGTGCATACATGAAAACGAACTTCTTTCTGAGTAGGCGGCCTTCGGCCGCACTTAGGGATTATAACCCTTACTAAGTAGAATTCTCCTTTCTGTGTTGCCGGAAAAGGGGGCCGGAAGTATTTTTGCGCAGAACTTCTTTCTGCGTAGGCGGCCTTCGGCCGCGCTTAGGGATTATAACCCTTACTAATTAGAATTCTCCTTTCTGTGTTGCCGGAAAAAAAGGGCCGGAAGTAATTTTGCGCAGAACTTCTTTCTGCGTAGGCGGCCTTCGGCCGCGCTTAGGGATTATAACCCTTACTAAGTAGAATTCTCCTTTCTGTGTTGCCGGAAAAGAAGGGCGGAAGAATTTTTGCGCAGAACTTCTCTCTGCGTAGGCGGCCTTCGGCCGCGCTTAGGGATTATAACCCTTACTAAGTAGAATTCTCCTTTCTGTGTTGCCGAAAAAGGGGACCGGAAGTACTTTTGCGCAGAACTTCTTTCTGCGTAGGCGGCCTTCGGCCGCGCTTAGGGATTATAACCCTTACTAAGTAGAATTCTCCTTTCTGTATTGCCGGACGTATTCTTGCGCAGAACTTTTCTCTGCGTAGGCGGCTTTCAGCCGCGCTTAGGGATTAAAACCCTTACTAAGTAGAAGTAAATAATTCATATTAGAAAAAACGAAATTATCCATATGCACACTTTCGTTAGAAAACCGAAATAATGCATATAACAAAAACCGAAATAATGCATGCATGTACAATTTCAGTTCAAAACCGAAATAATGCATATGGCAAAAACCGAAATAAAGCATACATGCACAGTTTCGGATGAAAACCGAAATAATGTATATATGAAAGACGAAGGTATGCATACATGCACAGTTTCGGTTGAAAACCGAAATAATGCATATGAAAAACCCGAAGTAATGCATACATGCACAATTCCGGTTGAAAGCCGAAAAAATGCATATGAGAAAATACCGAAATTATGCATATGCATACTTTCGTTTTAAAAGCGAAATAATGCATATGAAAAAAACGAAGTAATGTATACATGCACAGTTTCGGTTTAAAACCGAAATAATGCATATGGTAAAAACCGAAATAAAGCATACATGCACAGTTTCGGTTGAAACCGAAATAATGTCTAAATGCACAGTTTCCATATGCGCAATTTCGGTGCCCCTTTAAAAATCTTAACCACCTCCAAGCAGCCTCGAACCTGCGATTTCAGAACCAGAACCAGTAGTCTTCACGTGACGCCACTGCCGACATTTGTAAGAAAAGCAATTAATTGCGTTTTATTTTTGGCTTGGCAATTCAAAGGCAGATGGCGC